TGGGAGCTATATCTATGCTAAATTTCGTGCAAATCGAAAGTTATGAAGGGTCTTTGGAGCACCATTTACCTTTAATCGGACGAAGATATATATGGGAGCTATATCTCGATTTTCACGAAACTTAATATTAATCGGCAAACGAAAGAAGATATATATGGGAGCTATATCTAAATCTGAGCCTAACAAATGAGCTGTGCCAAATTTCATCCAATTCGGATCATAAATGCGACCTGTAGTTTGTTTACAATTTAACATGAACAGACGGACGGACATGCATAAATCGACTCAGAAAGTGACTCTATGCATATTCTCAAAATGAGCCATGGGTCTATCTCGTTTCCTTTTGCCTGTTACAAACATATGCATAAAGACAAAATACCCTGTACCACAGTGTGGTGAAGGGTATAAAAATCCATGCCAAAATGGAACATTGAAAACATTTTGTTATAAAATCCTGGTCTATTCTTGACAAAATTCACGCTTTAATGGGACCTTGATAAATATTTATAAAAAATCCAGTATGTTGTGGGACCTATTACAAAAAATCAGCACATTACCATGAAAAATATACGCCTTAGTAGGACTTTGACAAAATATTCTTTTAAAATCCAGGTCTTAATGGAAAGCGATTTCAGAATTGTATTCGGTAATCGACGTTTCTTTTCTTAAAAATATACGACCTATTACGGCAAGTTTGCTTCTTTGAACTTCTCACCACATCACATTTTTCCATTAAGGAACCGTTATTAGGCATTCCAGAATTTATGATTATATATCTTTTAAAAAAAAATCTAACCTTCAAATGGGGATAGTTTCTACAACTACAATAATTTGTTTTTCATAGTTTTATAATTGGGTTTGCTTCAATAAAATAAAAAAATAACATTCGCATTAATAAATTTTCATATATAAAAGGTGTGGGCGTTTGCGATATCAAAGACATTTGTCGAAAAATTCATTATGAAAATTACAACAACAAAAATGGAGGAGAAAAAACCAAATCAGCCGAATATGATGTCCATACATGCATATCAAAGACCATCATTCATTCCTCCCCCAGTGAATTATATTAGAGTGTAACGAAATGGGCGTGTGACAAAAAATAACAGAATATTAAGAAAAGAAACCTACTGAAAACACCCAGACCACTTTAAGTCGCTCTTCTATTTGTATGTGAATAAAATTTATTGGTAAGAAAGTATTTCCGGAGAGATCTCCTTCTTGTGAATTAGCAATAGTGAATGGATGTAAATTCAATTGGACAATTTCAAATATTCAACTTAAATATATTTATTACACAAACATACTAATAAGAAATTGTATTAAGATTATTATGAAAACATGTTTAGCGTCGGGACATTCTAATAAGCTCAAATCAGCAGAATAAATATTATAAAGCGATTAATAAAAAAACATATGCCTTGCTTTTTTATTTCATATTTGTGGTCATTTGAACATCAATCCATATGTTAATATTTAGAACAGTCAATGACTGATATGTTTTGACAGTAGAACACGCTACATCACACTTGAAAAAAAAATGCCAAGCTCTTAAAAATTCGAAAAAAAAACTTAAAAAAATCAATATTCCACGCCTCCAAACAAAAATAAACCGTAAGGAAAGTAGTAAAGTCGGACGACTATATGATTTAATCTCAAGCAGACACCCATTGATTACTTAGTTTACAATTAACATGAATATCTATCTCTGAACCGATTTCACGGAAACTTGCCAGAGGTAAATTTATATTAACTTCAGTACGTTGTGTCAGTCGACCTAAACCCTACGAAATTATATATGTATGTAAATCTGAACCGAAACTTAACACACATCATTCTAGACTTAATTCAGTGCGCTATGCCAAAATCCGTGCAAATCAAAAGATTTGCAGGGACTTTGGTTCAATTTACCTAAAATCGGGCGAAACTATACATGGGAACTATATCTAAATCTGAACCGATTTTCACGAAACTTAGCACACATCATTGTAGGCTTAATTCATTACGCTGTGCCAAATGTCGTGCAAATCGAAAAATATTTAAGGACTTTGGTACACAATTTACTTTAAATCGAACGAAAATATATATGGTAGCTATATCTAAATCTGAACCGATTTTCACGAAACATCACGTACGTCATTCTAGGCCTAATTCAGTACGCTATGTCAAATTACAGGCAAATCGAAAGATATTTAGGGATTTTGGCGCACCATTTACCTGAAATCGGACGAAAATATATATGGGAGCTATATCTAAATCTCAACCGATTTTCACAAAACTTCACGTACGTCATGCTAGGCCTAACTCAGTACGCTATGCCAAATTTCGTCCAAATCGAATGATATACAGGGGTTTTGGTACACAATTTACCTTAAATCGAACGAAAATATATATGGGAGCTGTATCTAAATCTGAACCGATTATTACGAAACGAAACATACGTCATTCTAGGCCTAATTCAGTACGATATGCCAAATTTCGTCCAAATCGAAAGATATACAGGGGCTTTGGTTCATCATTTATATTAAATCGGACAAAAATATATATGGGAGCTATATCTAAATCTCAACCGATTTTCACGAAACTTGGCACACATCATTCTAGACTTAATTCAGTAGGCTTTACCAAATTTCGTGCAATTCGAATGATTTTCAGGGACTTTGGCGCACCATTTACCTTAAATCGGACAAAAATATATATGGAAGCTATATCTAAATCTGAACCGATTATCACGAAACTCCACGTACGTCATTATAGGCCTAATTCAGTATGCTATGCCAAATTTCGTCCAAATTGAAAGAAATACAGGGACTTTGATTCATCATTTACATTAAATCGGACAAAAATATATGGGAGCTATATCTAAACCTCAACCGATTTCCACGAAACTTAGCACACATCTTTCTAGACTTAACTTAGTACGCTATGCCAATTTTCGTGCAAATCGAGATATATATATGGACTTTGGTGCACCATTTACATTTAATCGGACGAAAATATATATTTGTTCACAAAAATACATTGACGGACGGACATGCATAAATCGACTCAGAAAGTGATTCTATGCATATTCTCAAAAGACACTATGTGTCTATATCGTTTCTTTTGTCTGTTAGAAACATATGCACAAAGACATAATACCCTGTACCACAGTGTGGTGAACCACGCCTTTAAAAAAAATGTTCCACGATCTCAAAAAAATATTGGAAAAAATTCACGCCTTTCAGAAAAATATTCCACGTTTTCAAAGAAATATTTAAAAAATCCACGCCTATTATAAACCTTGAAAATATTTTTAAACCAGTGAGCGGAGCAGTATAGTCGGACGGGGCCGACCATATAATACCCTACACAACTTCGACGAAACAATAACTTTCTGTGGTTCTATATTCTGAGCTTGGGCAATATTTCGCGATATTTGCACCATCTTGACCGACTAGAGGCTAACAAATATTAAAAATATTCAGTACAGCCCTTCTAATCACTTGACAAGATTCCCTTCACCGTGGGTTGTGTTGTGATGTTCGGCTTTCAATTTTGGCCTATGGATCGACTCGAAAAAAAAAAACACAAACAATTATGTTTTCGGTACATATCATCCCAATATTATTATCTTATCATAAATTAAAGGCGTGGCCCCTGATCATACCTCATGGAAAATTTCAAATTAAAGGCGTGGTCCTGGACCATACCTGGATCCTCATGGAAAGTTTCAAAGCGATCAGCGCTATATTTCGGCCTTCCAGTGTGGTAATGGGTTACTAAATAATATCTGAATACGTAAGCACATGTAAATATTTAAGTGTAACTCCCACATCTGAGTACATACGACCATATAATTGGTATCAATATAAAGGTCAACCACTCCTCTTGAACATACTATTAACTTCTCGGGTCTAGGACCTTCAGGTGCAAATATATACCCCATAGAATACAAATTTTGTAATTTTTCACACAAAAGTCTGAGTCCATCTGACCCGCTCAATATTGACCAAACTTTATCAAAACAGGCAGGCTTATTCTTTGGCTCGATACCCTTCTCAATACCCTTTCACGGTGTTCGGGCCATAATTACGGCCTTTGGAGCGACCAGAAAAACGGACAAAAATTTAGTATTTGGTCCATTTCATCCCTTAAATATTAACCGATTTTTTCCAAAAACAATAGGAGTCTTCATTGGGGCAAACCCATCCTACATGCAAAATTTCGTGAATATTGGTCCATAAATGTGGCCTGTATCGTGTTTATAAATTATAATGAACGGACGGACGGACGGGCACACTTGTCTTGATCTAATCAGCTAGTCGAGATAAGACGATCGATATACTTAATGGTTGATCTAGGACCAATATTTCGCGGCGTTACAAACTCTTGGGGCTGCACAAAGCTATAATACCCTGACAACATAGTTGTGTAGGGTATAAAAATCCAAGTCGATTATAAAACTTTGAAGAATATTTTTTAAAAAATCCACGCCTTGTATAAACCTTGAAAAAAATATTTTAAAAAAATCCACTCCTTTGTATGTCCTTAAAATCCATTTATAAAAAATTGACGCCTTTGGTAAACCTTGACAATACTTTAAAAAAAATCCACTCCTTCGCTGAGGACTGAAAAAAAAATATTTAAAAAAATCACGGCTTTGGTAAATCTTTAAATACAATTTTTAAAAAATACACGCCTTGGTAAGTCTTAAAAATATATAAATATTTTTTAAAAATCCTCTGAAGTGAAATAGGTTTCCAAACAATCGACCTCTGTCGATATTTAACTCATTCTCACGAGGTCCCCAAAAAAAGCAGAGAAATGAAGTCATATACTAGATTTTCGTTTTCCAAATAACGAAATGCCATGTTTTCGGCTCATTATGTTCACCTTTGTATAGCGGCGGTTCATCATAAAAAATTAGAAAAAATTCAAAACCAAAACAGATATCAAAAGTTCCTATATGAAATCCAATAAAACACACAACTAAAGAAAAACTACTTCTATATACATACCGCTTTTGCCAACACCAGGCGCTCCAACGACCGCAATTTTCAATTCGGTTAAAGTGGATTTCTTGCGTCGAATACCACGGGTCGTCATTTTGGCGGCGGCAGGATGGCGGGTGGTGTGGAATGAAGATTATTAGATTTTCTTTGGGATGTTGTTGTTGTTATCTGATTAGTTGTTCTGCTGTTTTCTTTCTTTCTTTTGTGGAGCAATGAAGAAGAAGGCGGGTGGTGTTCGAGTGGGGTGGAGATGGTCGTTGGCGGTAATAAATGCGGTAGAAAACTATGCGAAAAATTTTCCGATTTTATTTTGTTTATTCTATGGGATTATTTATTTATTTTAATATAGTTACGTTGAGGTTGAGTCTGTCAGTCCGTTCGACAAATAGCCAACCAATGTGTGGGGTGTTGTGGTAGTGGGATTTTTTTTTCGAAAATATGTTTTTGTTTTTTGGTTCGGAATATAGATATTTGGCTTAAATGATTAAGTGGTAAACGGCACGCACTTTTTCCAAACTGTATACGAAAAAATTGTTGTTGTTGTTATTTTGTTATTATTATTTCATTGTTTGTAAACAGTTAAAATATTTTATGTTCGCACACACATACACACGATTTTTTTTTTGTTTACAAAATTTAAGTATTTATTAATTGCAGCTGATTATTTTTTGTTTTGCATTAAAACAAAACAATTTCAAAATCGTTGTTAAATAATTTAATTGTTTTGTGGTTTATTATTTAAAACAAATGCACACACACACACTGACACATTCAATGGACACTTAATTCTACTGCCACCATCACCACCTCTTTTGATGCTGACAAGACACATGGATGCTCACGATGCTGCTGATGATGGGATTGGCATGGATCGGGAAGAAGACACAGGCAGGCAGGCAGTCAGCCAGACAGACAACAGAAATTAACGAATAAAAACCATTTAAAATAAATGCCAAAAAACGACACTCATATACACACACACGAAACACTAATGAAAATTCTTTATTTCAGTCTTTTGTTTCAAAATTTTCAATGTCAAAATATTTCGTTTATTTTTTGATTTTTTTTGTTGGACTAAGGAAAAGCCGACAAAATTTGTTATTGTGAATGCCACAGACAGATCAGACAGTCCAAGTAAATGAAGAGAAGAAAGGTGGCGACAATGGAATAAATTTCAGATCTTTTTTTCAATTTTGAGATTTGATGGATTTTTGTAATAAAGCACAATTGTTTTTTTAATTCGAATTGTTTCCCTTTTTTAATTGTCTGGTTTAAAATGGATTATTTTAATTTTAAATATATTTTTATTAATTTTTTTAATTGAAATTAATTATATTTTTAATTTCAAATTTTTTTTTCCGCTTTTCACAATTTTAATATCGTTATTCTCCAATCAAAAAAAAATCCATATTTTTTTAAATATATTTTGTTTTTCACTTTTTTTTCAATATTATTTTTTGAAATCAAAAATTATTTTTCTTCATTTCTTTTAATTATAACATTTTATTTATTTTAATTTTATTAATTATTATTAATTATTTTTTTTAATATATTTTTTTCAATCCAAAACAATTTTCAATTTTTCTTTTATTTTATTTTGAAGCAAAATCGAATTTTCTTTTTGGTTCGAATTAACAACGCTATTTTCCTGTTTTGTATTTACGAGTATGTGTATTTCACCGTTTGCAGATTTGTACTAAAAACTGATCGTTGAAGATATTCTGTTTAAGAAAAAAATAAAATAGACTATAGACAAAATCACACGCAGACACCGTCACACACACACACACAGACATAAAATTGAAAATTCATTCAGCTTTTTACGCTCGCCAAAAGGTACCAAACGATCAGTGGGATCACCAGCAAAAAGAACTAAAACATTAAAATGTTCATAGTAGTTGACTGCTCTCTTGGTTGTGTGTGTGTTTGGCACAGTGGCAGGAAATCGATTAAATTTAAAAAGGAATTGTTCCAGGATTTTTTTACAAATATATTTTCAATGTTTATAGACAAAGGTGAATTTGTTTAAAAATAAATAGCCATGAACTTTTATACCCTACACAACAATTTTGTCGGGGTATTATAGCCTTGTGCAGCCCCCAAAGTTTTTAACGCCGCGAAATATTGGTCCTAGACCCACTTTTAAGCATACAGATCTCGAATAGCTGAATCGATCTAGACATGTGTGTCCGTCTGTCCGCCTGTCCATTATAATTTGTAAACACGTTACAGGCCACAGTTATGGACCATTCTTCACGAAATTTTGCATGTAGGATGGGTTCGGGCCAATGAAGACCCCTATTGTTTTTGGTAAAGATTAATATTTAGGGGATGAAATGGATCAAAAACTACATTTTTGTCATTTTTTCTGGTCGCTCCAGAGGCGGCAATTATGACCAAAACATCGCCAATTTTTACGTGGAGAAGGGGATCGGTCCAAAGAAAAAGCATGTCTGTTTTGATAAAGATCGGTCAATATTTAGCGGTTCCTGACTTTTGTGTGGAAAATTACAAAATTTGTATTCTATGGCGAATATATTTACTCCTGAAGGACATAGACCCGCGAAGTTGATAGCATATCCAAGAGGAATGATTGACCTTTAAATTGATACCAATTATATTGTCGTATGTACTCGAATGTGGGAGTTACACCCTAATATTTACATGTACTTGCGTATTCATATATTACTAAGTAACCCATTACCACACTGGAGGGCAGAAATATAGCACTGATCGTTTTGAAATGTTCCATGAGGTTCCAGTTATGGTCAGGGACAACGCCTATAATTTTCGTTAATTTCGGTTTTTGTTTTTTTAGTAGATCTATAAGCTAGAATTATAAGCCGAACACCACAACACAACCCACGGTAAAAGGAATCTGGACAAGTAATTAGAAGGACTGTACTGAATATTAGTAATATTCGGAAAATATATCAGTGTAAGGAAGAGTGCTGTTGACTTCTAATCGGGCAAGAGGGTGAAACTATCACGAAATATTGTCCAGGTTCGGAATAAAAATCCGCAGAAAGTTAGAGTTCCGTGGTAGCTGTGTAGGGTATCGTATGGTCGGCCCGTCCGATTATACTACTCCGCTCACTTTCTTATTTTTTTTTATACCCTCCACCACATTGTGGTACAGGGTATTATGTCTTTGTACATATATTTCTAACAGGCAAAAGGAAACGAGAATATGCATAGAATCACTTTCTGAATCGATTTATGCATGTCCGTCTGTCTGTCCATGTAAAATTGTAACCAAAGTACAGGTCGCATTTTTGATTCGAATCGGATGAAATTTGGCACAGCCCGTTTATTTGGCCCAAGGACGAACACTATTGAATTTGGGAAAAATCAGTTCAGATTTAGATATAGGTCCCACATATATTTTCGTCCGACTTTAGGTAAATAGGGCACCAAAGTACCTATATAACTTTCGATTTGCACGAAATTTGGCATAGCGTACTGAATTAAGTCTAGAACGATGTGTGTTAAATTTCGTGAAAATCGGTTCAAATATAGATATAGCTCCCATGTAAATTTTTCGTCTGATTTTAGGTAAATAGTGCACCAAAGTTCCCATATATATTTCGATTTGCACGCAATTTGGCATAGCGTACTGAATTAAGTCTAGAACGATGTGAGTTCATGGAAATCGGTTCAGATTTAGATATAGCTCCCATATATATTTTTGTCCGATTTAATGTAAATGGTACACCAAAATACCTATATACCTTTCGATTTGCACGAAATTTGGCATAAGGTGCTGAATTAAGTCTGGAACGATGTGTGTTAAATTTCGTGAAAATCGGTTGAAATTTAGATATAGCCTCCATATATATTTTCGTCCGATTTTAGGTAACTAGTGCACCAATGTCTCCATATATCTTTCGATTTGCACGAAATTTGGCATAGCGTACTAATGTAAGTCTAGAGTAATGTGTGTTAAATTTCGTGAAAATCGGTTCAGACTTAGATATAGATCACATACATATTTTCGCCGATTTAAGGTAAATGTTGCATCAAAGTCTCCACATATATTTCTATTTGCACGAAATTTAGCATAGCGTACTGAATTAAGTCTAGAACGATGTGTGTTAAATTTCGTGAAAATCGGTTCAGATTTAGATATAGCTCCCAAATATATTTTCGTCCGATTTTAGGTAAATAGTGCACCAAAGTCCCTATATATCTTTCGATTTGCACGAAATTTTTCATAACGTACTGAATTAGGCCTAGAATGACGTACGACAAGTTTTGTGAGAATCGGTTCTGATTTAGATATAGGTCCCATATATATTTTCGTCCGATTTTAGGTAAATAGTACAGCAAAGTCTCCATATATCTTTCGATTTGCACGAAATTTGGCATAGCGTACTGGATGAAGTTGATATGTGTTAAGTTTCGTGAAAATTAGTTCAGATTTCGATATAGCTTCCACATATATTCGTCCGTTTTTACATAAATGGTGCACCAAACTCCTAATATTTGTCCGATTAACACGAAATTTTGCACAACGTATCAAATTGAGACTTGAATTACGTTTTTGGGTTCTGTTTCGAACGGGTATCTGATGCAGACGACTCTAAATCTGCCCGTTTGAAATTAAATGTATCAGAGGTTGCAAAAAGACATGAGTAAATTCCTTCGAGGGAACATTGACATGAAATTGTAAGGATACATATGTACAATATACCCAATGTGGTGAAGGGTATCATGAAGTCGGCCCAGTCCGACTTTACTACTTTCTTTATCAAAGTCTCGGATTTGCTTTCAAAAGGTTTCAAATCTTTCCAAAGGCATCGATGTTATAATTTTCTTTATTACTAAAACAAAGGAATGGATTTTTTTAAAAATATTTTGATTTAAAAATTTTTTTTTTAATTTTTTTGAAAAATATCAAAGAAAAATCTAATCACCGAAACACTGTGTCACACACCATGATTGTTACTCGTTGTTCTATCATTGTTTTTCTAGTTGTTGTTGTTGTTATTGTTTTGTATCATTTCATTATCTTAGCTATGTTTTTTTTTTCAATTTGAAATCTATTTTTAATAGATTAAGAGAGAGAATGCAAATCGTGTTTTGTTTTTGCCGTTCAGTTGTATCTTTGTTAGCAAATAATTAGCGGTGGCAGGCATT